GTTTAGGATTTAGGGCTTGGGTCTTGGGGTTTAGGGCTTGGGGTTTAACGCGAACCCTTCGCATTTCAGGCTTTAGGGTTTAGGGTCGAGGGTCTAGGGTTTAGGGTTTAGGATTTAGGACTTAGGGTTTAGGGTTTGGCGTCTGGGGTCTGGGGTCCCTGAACCCTAAACTCTTATAGGGTTTAGGGTTTAGGGCTTATAGGGTTTAGGGTTTAGGGTTTAGGGCTTATAGGGCTTATAGGGTGTCGGGTTTTGGGTTTAGGAACCCTAAGCTCTTTCCCCCCCACCCCCTGCGTGGCCCAAGCGGCCTAGAGGAATGCGCTGCTCGCCCGTGGACGCTGCTCGTCGGACAGGGACGCCGAGGAGCCTGCTCTTCGAGGTTCAGGGGTTTAGGGGTTTAGGGGTTTAGGGGGGTGTAGGGGTTTAGGGTTTAGGGTTTAGGGTTTAGGGTTTGGGGTTGAGAATTAGAATCGAGTGTTTTGGGGTAGGTTATACGCGAATTATTGGGAGAAACCTCAAAATAGTATTGGTAATGTATTTCGGCCCTGGGCTTTTTTGTTTCAAGGGCCTTCTAGGGGTTCAAGAATGGAGGCTCAGGGATTTTGGGCTTGGGGGTTTTAAGAGTCTGGGGTTCGGCAGGGGGGGATTTATGGTTGTAGGACTTTGGGTGTAGGGCTTAGGGTTTAAAGTTTAGGGGTTCAGGGTTTGGGGTTTTAGGGCTCGGGTTTAAGGGTTTGGTGCTTAGGGGTTAGGGTTTAGGGGTTCAGGGTTTAGGGTTTTAGGATTCGGATTTAAGGGTTTGGTGCTTAGGGCCTTGGGGGATTTATGGCTGTAGGACTTTGGACTTGGGGTTTAGGGTTTAGGGGTTCAGTGTTTAGGGTTTTAAGATTCGGGTTTGATGGTTTGGTGCTTAGGGCCTTTAAGGTTTGGGGCTTTGAGGGGCCTTTGATGCAGCAGATGAGGATTCTAGGGAGCCCATTAGAGGGACGTGAACCTGTAACTAACGCACACACACACAGACACACCCGCGCAAACACCCACGCAAACACACACACACACACAGAGACACACGCACGTAGAGGGCAACGACTTCGGTGAAGATTTCGATCCATCTCTTAAACCTATGCTCGAAACAAACCTGAATCCAGACGACTCGTCCCAGGGTCTAGCGACAAACAGGCAAGTGCGACAGCGACAGCACAGGGCGGAAAAGAAGCCAGCCTGGGCACATCCCACTTGCAAGCAGGCCTTAATGCGCATGTACTATACTGCATGAATTGGCAACGCTTGGCGGGCTTCCATGGCAAGTTCTATATATATATATATATATATAATCGATGTCTTTATAGTCATAGTTTCCACACGAGTCATCCGAAACTGCCAGAACATGAATTCAGCGAGCGACTATACAACTAGTGGAATGTGTTCCACAGCATGCGAACTCGCTTCAATGCGATGTTCACCGAAATCTGACCGAAGGATTATACTAGACAAGATTTTCCAGAGCTTTGCCAAATCGTCTGAGGCTGTCGCAGCGGATGTATGATCTAAAACCGATGGCTTCTTTCTGAATGTGGTAAACAAACAGGCCTTCTTTTGACCGTAGCAAAACTAAGAACGAAATTCAACATGAGGAGTGTCGTAGCGGAGCAGACTACCATAACCATTTAGACCAACGTACCTCCATACGAAGCACTTTGTAGTGGATCTGTCAGCCTCGCGGAATAAGTCGTAATGTGTCTATCAGAATGTGTGCTGTAGGCCCCCCGAAAATATCCCTAAAATGCGGGTTACGGCGGATCTGAAAGCGAGTCTTCGATTGCGGCCCTAGGCCGAAGTGGCCGAGACGGGGCTAAATCCTGAAACCCATGAAAGCACTCGCGGGCCGATCACAAGCAGAAGTCAACCTATCATCGACAGTCGCCTTGGGCCTCTCTCGGAACGTGTTGCTCTTGTAGGTTCTCTTCTTTAGTACATGGTTGGCAGAAATCTTTTCCGCCGGCTTCGGCGGATTCTAACTTGCCATCAGCGGACAGCTTCGAAGCGTTGTAATTCGATTCTGGTGCATGAACCAGTTCGGAATCCCAAGCTCACTCATGGCACAACTGACTGTACCTTGGAGTGCGAGAAGAAGATGCACCCGCTGGCTCCCACGATTCACTCCGTGGCTGCACCTTCAACAAGAAAGCCTCCGGCCACAGTTGCTGGCAAATATCCACTGGTCCACACAATTCGGCATCGTCTGTGCTTTGCCATCCTTGTCCCTCGGCTTCGTCCACATAGGAACCAGAGCAAAGGTACTCTTCCACTACGGTTTTGTCTCTGAACTTCTGGGAGCAAGCGTGAAGGGTAAGCTTGGCACAGTCGACATGCCATGCATCGCAGCACAGAATGTCTCCTGGCCGAATCTGAAAATCAGGATTGTCAGCGTCTGCTTCATGGTACTCAATGAGGTTCCCATCATCTCCTCTGCAAATCTGATTCGCTTCTGCTGGCGATGTAGCTAAGCAGATTTTGTTCGTCATATCCCCGAAGGATTCTCCGGCAAATGCTTGATGGAACTTCGAGTTAACCTTCCTCGCAGTGGGGTACAACCTAAGTGACTGCAATTCACCAGCATTCTCATCACCGTCTCCGTCAGTCATACATAGTAGACTGCCGCTTCGGTTTGCAAACTCGAACCCCCAGCATACACCTAGCCCGAGGGCACGCACCAAAGCCAACGATTGTGGGTCATGCTTGGCGTCGCAAACGTCCCACGCGTCGGCCACCATCCTCTAAATCGCCATGACTCCACCTGTCTCCGCCCTGGCCGATGAGAGATGACATCAACACGTCCAGAAAACTTGTCAAACCATGCTTGCGAAGTGAGTAGGAACTGATCATGCAACCATTTTGCACCCAGCAAACCTGCACCTCCTGCGCGCACAAACTCCCGCATGACTCCTAACTTCCCAGGGACTGACAAGATTCCATTTTCAGTGAAAGCACCCTGCAAGGTCAATTTGTCCGGGCCCACACGCATCACCTCGCCATCGACATGCACGTATTCCCTGGTGCCCAACTCCAGCCACGGCCCGTCGATGCTTTGATCTGTGCAGGCTGCAGGTTCTGTGAGCTTGAAAAATGACCGAGTTCCAGTCACTTTCAGAGTCCACAAGTACCACTGATCTGGATCTCCATAACGGAAGGACATGTCCAAACGGGATCCGCGTCCGCAGTCTCCCCGGCTCTGCTCGACTTGGATCGGGACCTGCATGTACGAGCCGCCATGAAGTGCCTCAGCAGTTGCTGGCAGGTGTACATGAACAGCTTCTGCATGGTAGAACTGGCAGATGGGACAGAAGCGCCCACAACCGCAGAACGACATGTCTGCCACGCGTGGTCCAAGGCTTCCAACAATTGATGGTGTTTGAGTATTCAGCTGGTTCACGACGGCACCGATTCGTTGCAACCGAAGGGCATGCGAGTCAATCGGTCCTTTCACACTCAAGGCTAGTTGAAGCACCAAGGATGCCACGTCCATCACCTCTACCTTGCGATTCAAGCACAAGGAGATGCCGCTTGACAGGGCTTTGCCCCAGAAGTGCACCATGTCAGCATCACACAAGGAAGCATCTATCTCCAGCGATTCCTGAATGTTGGAACCTGAAACTGTCAAGGCATTGGCAGGAGAGGGAATCTCAACGTACCGCATAGAAGAATGTAAAGTTGAGTGTGCGTCGATCTGGCCAATCTCACTGTCCCAAAGAAACTCCAAATGTCAGGTCCCACTAGCATGAACAAAGGTAAGGCTGACGGTATGTCACCCCCTCGACTAGCGTCGCGTATGCTAATGAGCTTGCGTGCCAGAGCATCGAGATCCACCAACAAAGTGAAAGCCGCAAGCATCGACGATGAAGCACTGAACATTCCCGATGTGATCCACACAGCTGCAAGGCTCAGGCTCATTACGAGATACGTGCCCAGCACCGAGCAATACAAGTATGAGATACCGCTCCACCAGGTTCGGCCCACCGTCTCCACAGCCTCGGACTGCTCAGCTGCAGCCTCCCAATCTGCATGCCCGATTCGAATGCTGGACGTAAAGTTCCTTCCTATGGCTGTCAAGTTATGAAGTGGTTTTTGCACCTGGTATGTCACAAAGCTTTCTCCACACACCCCGGGAGCGATCCACATGAATAGGACAATCAAGAGATGCAACCCCCAGAAGCAACGTCCAGCTTCTGCCAGGCGAAATACCTCGAGCTTGTCCACCATTGGCAGATTGTTGCTTTCAACATTGTTGCTGAGCTTCGTGCTTTTGAAAAAGTGACGTCCCGGCTCTATGGCAGCTTGGAGCATGGTCTGGGCAGACTGCAGGCGTGGCCGGACGTCCATCATGCCAGGCCAAGATGGCAATGGCCTTCCAAGATGCAGCACTTTTGCCTGCACATCCAGCGATCTGGAGGGAAGAGGAGAATCTGGTCCACCTTCTGCTGCCAGCAAAGCATTTCTTTGTGGCTCACTGAATTTCATCCTGAAGAAAAGGCGCCAGTGAGATTGACGAATCCAGAAAAGGATTAGAGTTGTCAGTGCGAATGAGCTTAAGATCGTCGCGGCAACAGGTTCCAGTGGCCTGTAAATGTGCCCCGCGCACACAACGCCAATGATTCCAAGAAAGACCGGTGGCACTAACATGTCAGCGGAGCAAGTTGTGAACCGGAAGTGATTTTGGAACTCCCAGCCAACTGCAGCCCAGACCAACCCACCGCAGGGCCACGCCAAGAAAGACATAAGCAGCACTGCCGTAGTTCGGCCGCTGCCGCCTGAGAGAAGGAACATTCGGACGGCAATGCCAGCACCAACATACAAAGTAGTCGATGCAAATGCTGCAAGAACTGCCACCCAGTATGGCCGCGTCTGCACATCACGTGACCAGGAACCAAAAACAATCAGGACAACAAGCCATCCCTGGCCACATACCACAGGGAGCCACGAGACCATCACGAAGCGTGAGACTTGAAAGACAAACATGCTGCAGCCAGCCCATGAGACACAGACGGAGACGGGGACACTGGCATTGCCAGCTAAACTCACTGCCTGGCCCTGCCACAATGCCAAGCAGTGCGTTCCAAAGGCAATCCAGACCAAACTGCAGCATGCCTTTCTCCACATAATACCGGGCTCTGATGCCTCCATGCTTGGCGAGTAGACAACAAAGCTTGAGCTGCACTTCTCATCTTTGGCAGTAAGTTCGATGAACGCAGACAGTCCGCCCGCAAGTGAACACATCAACATCGACCACCGCAGAGAAGCTCCTAGCAAACTGACACCTCCCAGATCAGCTGGGTCTTGCCCAAGAGTGAAGATTTTGCAGCCTGTAGCCCGATGGAGAAAATGACCATATATCCAAAGCACGAAGCCAAGAAAGAAGAGCATCAAACATGCATCTTGGCATATGCTGCCAAGGAAGGCTGCGCTGCATGACGTGCAACGAGAAGTTAGAGGATTCGTCCGAAAGTCTCCTTCTAGCAGCTGGCTGGCCGAGCAGGCTGCTACCCCTGGAAGGTAGCATGCCAATATCACTCCCAGCACCGCCCCAATGGACAACATGAGGGCGTAGATACTGTGTGGATGCATGGCCGGTGCACCAACAAGTGGGCAGTCGATGAGACGCACCTCGTGCGGCTTACTACGAAGTGAAACAAATCAGTGGGTTTAGGGTTTAGGGTTTAGGGTTTAGGTTGGCCTTGAATCAACATGGTTCACTTGACAACAACTGTTCAACTGCAACCAACACAAGCTGGTACGAGAAATCCGCCTGTCCTGGACAGTCAAAGGGAAGCTCGAAGGTGCAAACTCGATGTTTCTGTGAAGCGCGTCCAGCTCGAATGTCTGGCCTTGCGAATCCTTGTCGCGATCTGTGCGTCAAAGGGAGTCCAGTCTATGCGATAGCGACCCCACTTGCTAAACCCAAAGCGGCCACGGGGTCTCAGAGCAGGTCCCATCCCATTCCCTACCCAGGAGGTTCCCAGGAGCCCTAGGGCCTGCGGTCTACTGGGTTTAGGGCTTAGGGGTTTCGGGTTTAGGGGTTTTAGGGTTAGGGGTTTAGGGTTTAGAGTCTTTGGGTTTAGGGCTTAGGAGTTTAGGGTTTAGGGGTTTAGGGCTTAGGGGTTTGGGGTTTAGGGGTATAGGGGTTTAGGGGTTTAGGGTTTAGAGTTTTGGGTTGAGGGCTTAGGAGTTTAGGGTTTAGGGGTTTAGGGCTTAGGGGTTTAGGGTTTAGAGTTTAGGGTTTA